ACCAGAAAGTAAATTAAGTCATACGCAGCTGTCATCCATACGCAAGGAAGTATGCACAAGTNAGCCTGGTCCGGTGAGAACCCGGCGTGCTCCGTCCCGGCTTTGTAGGGATGCGAGGTCAATGGTCTAACGACTACGGCATGCACGACTATGAGTACACCCACCCCCCCCTCCCCCTCGCTATGGGTCATGCCTACGCAAAACCTTCCCGAGGCAGCGAGGGGAAGAAAAGGTGAGAGTGCAAAGCCGCCGATCACACCAGTCGGCAGCAAGCTACCTACTGCTGTCCACTTTGTCAGCACCGGTAGCAAGGTACATACCATACACAGCAAGTACTGCTGAAAATTTCGATTGCTGTGTAGTGGTGGTAGGTGATGTAGATCTTGTAGCCTTGGCCGCACACCAGAAGACGTGGAGATTGACGTTCAGAATCAAAGAGACGGGCTAGACTACCAGCAGTACCATGTACAGTGGTACCATGCCGCTTGTTCGTACATTGAAACGTGAAAATATTTCATATTCCACCATGTTTCCGGGAAAGAGGTGACGCACGCGCGACAACCCCATACCGCTTTGTAGTATCGACTGCTCGCCGTCAGAGCGCAGCGCCAGCTACTTGAGCGGTATAGTTGGTATGTGTGTACCATACAACCACGCTCTTTTCACCCCACAGCAGCATTTTTCAAAGGCGGCCCCGCAATTCAATTTCAATGACGGTTTGGGACCTGTACTTGTCAGCATCGCTCTCTGTGCATGTCTAGGGAATCCCCACTCATGGGCACAGCAACGCCCCCCCTGCGTCGCTGACCGGGTCCTCACCTGGAAAACGCGCACGTAAACCCCCACCACCAACCCATGGCATATGCACCTAGATTGGCGCAGCGAACGCAAGGATGACCGACCACCTCGGTTCATTCAAGTGAAACGCAGCCTGGGCGGGCGAAAACCCGGCATGTCGCTCGGTCCCGGGTTGCGAAGTCAATTGGTCCAATGAGTACGGCATACGTTTACATAAGTGTACCCCCCTTGCCCATCCTCAACAGAACATCATGTCTGACACGGAAGAAGGTCCTTCGGACGAGACGGCGATGGGCGGGAGCAAGAGCACCAGGCCCGCGGCTATGACGGCGGAGGAACAGGCGGAGCAGACCCGATACTCGGAGCTGTTCGGCGGCAAGCCTAAGGCCAAGCCTAAGGCCAAGGCGGGGGGGGGAGCTTCCGAGGTGGGTGGTGTTTGCGGGGGGGCGGGGGGAGAGGGACAGGAGAGTGCTCGCAATTGTTGTTTCGCGGCTGCGGGTGGAGGTGTGGTGGTGTTTTTGGCGGGAAAAGGTTGGAACAAGTCGCATTGGCGGGGGCGGGATCGGCGGCAGCAGCTTCCGCACCCCGCTGCTGTAGCAGGTGCGCACTGTTTCCCGTTTTTGCCTTGAGCAGTATCGTGCTCCGCTGCACCAGTTGCTTCTTCCGATGGCGTCGCATCCAGTTGTTGCTGTTTTTTTTTGTCGGAGGCAGCAGATGGGGGGAACGGGGAGGGGGCATCTTCCCAGCTTGACCCTACGATGGTATTGGTCTCTTTTGTACGCCGCGGCGGACTGATGACGTGCAGGTGTTGAAACGGTCACTTCACTAGATTGTGTTGGACGCAATCGGCCTTGGTGTCAGTCAAGATGTGCTTGCATCAAGAGCAAGAAGATCATCGATGCCTTCCAGTCCGTGCCTAGGTTGCATCTCGCACTTCTCCCCCTCTCCGCACCTCCTCTTCTTCACGTAAATGCCGGAACACTCTGACAGATATTGACAGGCAAAGATGTGTGCACCCATTCGCGTGCCCGAAGCAATCAGGAAAGCATTCAACGGTTGACACTCAGCGTTGGAGGTAGCGGGTGGGTATGCCTTTCTCGAGGAAACGAAAGCTAGAAAAGAGTTGTACAATCGTGCGAATGAAAACTCGAGACGTTGACAACATGACGGACGTAGCGCGATGAACTGCTGTATGCCCCCTTTCATCCGCGCTAAGCTGCCCGCGGGGAATCACTGGTCCCGCAACAAGACGTGCCAAATGCAAATTGAGGGTAACATGTGATGCGCTCGCTGCCTTCATCCCCGCGGAAATTCCTTCGCCCCGAACATGTACACACGCCAACATAAAGGGCCGTTCCGCGCGAAGCACAACCGCCCTTGCCAAGAGACAACCCGTGGTCACGAGGCAAACGAAGAAGCAGCGCTCCAACAACGGCACCTCAGCCGCCGGAGCAGCAGCAGCAGCCACGGAAAGCGGCGGCGTTACCCGCGCCCCGGAGGGCGAACACGACCTCTACGCGTCGGGGGACGAAGGGCGGCGGGCGGGCGGGGACTCTGACCCGGGGTCTCCGTACCGGGGCAAGGCGGCCTGGGCGGTGGGGACGCCCGCGGCGGCGGGGGGCAAGGGCAAGGGAGACAAAGAATGTGCGCCGACAGCGACGTGAGTGTTTGTTTTCATGTGCATGCTGTAGGTGTGTTTGGTACGAATATGTTCTGGCTTGCATCTGTATCGCGCCAACTTGCTGGCCAATGAAAAGCCGTCGGCCTCCAGCACGGAAGCGGGGATATTGATGTTCTAATCCGCGGCGCCCCTCGTCCGGATGTGTGTTTGTGGGGGGGGGGGGGCTG